CCGAAGTGAAGGAGCTGGGGCGGAGTGCAGGGGAAGGCGGCCCCTCCCCTCCCCCGTGGCCGGCGCTCCCTCCCTGCTGCAGCCGCTCGCAGCCTGTGCAGGACTATCTGGAGCAGGCTCAGGCAGCCCCAGGTGGGCTGCGAGCAGCGGAAGCGCGGGGCGCTGGCCATGGGGAGGGCGAGGGGCTGCTTTTCCCTGTGCTCAGCACCAGCTTGTAACCCGTCTCCACTGCCAGCCTGGGCCCCATGCCGACCCCGGGCTCACCCGCCAGGGTTGTGCATGGTGGTGGTGGCAGCAGCTGCAGCCCCCTGCTTGCCACGCCAGGCACCACACAAGCTCTGGGTGGGCAGCAGCAGCAAACACTGCCCAGCGTGGCGGGCGGGGGGGGCCGCAGCTGCTCCTGCTGTGCACAGCCCCAATGGGCAAGCCCAGAGCTGTTGCGGGGCCCAGGCTGACCGTGGGGGCAGGTTACAAGCTGGTGCGCAGCGTGGGGAAGGCAGCCCCTCACCCGGCGTGGGGCTGCCCGTGCCTGCTCAGCACCGATCAATGCCCCCAGAGGTGAGGGAGGTTGCAGGGGTAGGCACTGCCCAGCCGGGGTGGGGAGGGGCAGGTCCCTCCAGGAGCAGGGGGAAGGGGGTGTGTGCCCCCAGATCCACACAGCATGGGGCAGGCTGCAGCTGAGGGGTGGCGCCGGAGCCACGCAGGGCTCTTCTTGCCGGGGGCTGGGCCCAAAGCAGACTCCGGTGGCACTGGGAGGAGGCTGCAGACACCCCAAATTTCGTTGCAGCTCTGCTCCCAGCCCCATGCCACTGCCTGCTGCAGCCCCGGCTGAATACCCAGTCTCCACCCAAGCGCCAGGAAAGCTGCGCCGGTGGCGGTGCAGGCCTGGGAGCAGAGCTGCAGCAAAGTTTGGGGTGGCCGAAGCCTCCTCCCCCAACCGTTGGAACCCACTCCGAGCCCTGCCGCTGGCAAGAAAAGCCCCGCGTAGCGCCAGCTCCACCATGCAGCTCAGCCCACCCTGCGCCCTGCAGTTCTGGGGACACACCCCTCCCCAGCCCCCCTGGGGTGCGTGCAGTGGTGGGAGCTGCCCCCAACCCATGAGCTGCAGCTCCATCCCATGCCCACCCCCACCATCTCAGCTGAGCAGCACCTGCCCCTGCCCCCTCCCTCACTGTGGGGGGTGTTGGTCTGCCCCCCAACACCCGTTCGCTCCCCTTCCACCACACTGGACTTACCAGGATATCAGATTGGTATCAGCCAATATGCCTCCTTAAATATCAGCTATTGGTATCAGCCCCCAACATCTGTACTGATGCTACACAAATTTCAACTTTATCACAAGTGGATGCACTACTATGACAACAGGACAGCCAGCTTGCTACTGGCATGCTGCTGCCTGTGACTTTTCAATGAGAAAATGGTTTCTCAGCTCTCCTGGCTTAAGAGCCCCTATACTAAAGCAGCTCAAATGGTCAGCAACACAGTCCTCTGGGGTTGCTATTATCTGCCACAGTGAGGTACAGTTCTTCTCTTCCCACTGAGTGGTGCTATTGAAACAGAGATTTTAGAAGAATAATCTGAAAAGACAAATGGCACCTACCACATTAGGATTAAATGGTGGGGGAATCTTTTTCTGAAGAAGGTCAGTCCAGCTGAGAGATTCAAAGAAAGGATGCCTTTGAATTTCAAGCTGCAATAAAGAAGCAAAGATAAGCTTTTAGTTGTTTCAGAGATCCTTCCACTATACCAGATTCAAATATCCTGGCCTGCCTGTCCAAAAATATTTCCCTATCAAGTTTTAGCCATACCTTTTAAGAGGAATAATAAAACAAACTAATGGCACATTGGGCTTATTTTTTTTTTTTTTGTGTTGCCTTGTTTCTGTATCAGATCACACAGCATGTAATTAACTTATGGAACTCATTGCAGTTGGATGTTGTAGAAGCTAACAACTAAGGCTCAAAAGGAAATTAGACAAATTCATGCACGATAGGTCCATCAGACATATATTAAGCATGACAGGAGGACTGCAACCTTCACATTAGGAATTCTGAGTATTCTAAATAGTGGAAATTGTAAGGGGGGAAAAGGGTGTAACCAGTCTGATGTGTCCCCTTCTCCTGCATAAGGACTCTTCTCATTCACATCTGTTCTGTGCCACTGAGACAGACATATTTTCTGTGCGAGTAGTAGTAGGCCTACACCCACCAAGAGAACTACAAACCTCCCTCAGTGAGGGAGACCACTGGGAGCACAAGAAATTCCAGGGAACAAATAAGAAAACAGATATGGATGGGACAAAGAGACAAGATACTATGGTCTGACCCAATATGGCATCATTCTTATGATACTTTCTATGATTCATTCTTATGATCATACTTATCTGAGAAAATAATTTTTCCGCTTAAGAATATAAGTCAAGATCTGAAGCAAACCACATGTCAAGGTGGTTTTTAAAATAGCACTTATACTCCTGCTTCCAGTTAACAAAACTTGCTAATATAGGGCACTTTCTCAAGAGGACTCTGCAGTACACCCTCTGTTTATACCTGAAGCAGTAAACACTATGCCTCCCAAACATCATTGCCTCTTCATTTACTTCATGCTGCAAAAATGTAATAATGGTGCTGCAGCAGTTTAACTCAACTTCTGTGCTGGCCTATGAAATCTCATGTTGGACTAGCCAAACCTAGAAACACAAAGGAGAAAGCACCATCCCGTGACAGTTCAGAACTTCTCTAAGCCTCTTCAAACTTAACAAGGAACACTGGCAAGTTTCCAGAAATGCTTTCTGCTATTCTAATGCCATTTTAGAAGCCTGAAAAAATCAACTCTGCTTCCATACTACTGGTCCACCTTCCCCCATTTAAAAAATGTGGCATTTTTTCAAGTCAATGAAGCTGACATTACCAGAGCAATAACTGTTTTTGTTTTGCTTCTTTTCCTGTTTCAGCAGAGACAGCAATTACATCTATCCAACTAAGAGAATGCTATGCTAGGAAATGAGTTTCCTTTGCTAACAGGTACTAACAAAGCCAAGCTCTGAACATTAAGTTCCACAAAAAACTGTTTCTGCACTCCTCTCCTTCAAGGTTTTTGGGTGATAACAGGTGTTTTTTCAAAGCAGCTCTCTCCTCTTGTCTCCTACATGTAAAGCTGAGTTGCAAATCTAAACCTGAGGGTGTCATTTTAATAAAGCAGTGCCAGAAAAATGTATGGCCAAGTCATTACATACAAAGTCTTCTCTTGCTCCAAGTCTATTTTGTCGGTCCTTCTCCAAGAGGTCTTCTAAAATAGACCAGGCTGTCAGACTGATTCCTGGGCGCAAATTTAAGGGTTTGTGAAGAATATTTTCATACATCTCAGCAACATCACGGCAGTAAAAAGGTGGCTGTACAAAAACAACAAGACAAACGTGGTTAGGAAGTCATGCTATTCAGTACATTAGTTTCAGAAGATTGGGTAAAAAAATATTCTGTCAGAAAAAAACAATCTGCTGGCAGTAAGAAACTGCACCATCCTATTGTTGGCTGCTCTGTGGACAGAGTTAGTAGATGCTATTGTTTTCAACTTAAAATATGCCTGGCCCACTCCCTGCTAAATCCTTTACTCCACATGAGATCTAGGACATAAGGAGACCAATTCTCTGTTGGCTCTTTCTGGAATCTTATATGCTCTGCCTAGCAACTTATCACCCAAACACTGTAGACCATATCCACACTTACTCTTATTGAGCTTGCCCAAGGGAGCACATACATGGGTGAATTAAGCTGTCCCTACATTGCTATAAATCTTCATATAGGAATAGGATCCTAGGTTTGCATTTTGTAAGGAAATGTAGAGGAAAGGAGATCTACAGAACAAGCTGTTGTACAAGCAGTTACAGAAAATAAACCCAAGCTGAAACATAAGATTGCTTTCTTAAAATACAAGAAATAAAAAGAATCAAGGGTAATATTGGAAAGGTTCACGAAAGAATACTTGACTGTTTTTGGCACTGACATTTAGCAAAAATGTTTAGTTTAGCATGAGTTACTGGGCAGCACTGGTGATTTAAATGACTCATGATATCCCCTGGATGAAGATTGCTAGTCCCCACCAAGTCAGGGTTATTAATGGTACAGTTTGCTGGAGGACTGAAATTTAGATGCCAAAAGGCAAAACAAAGTTCAAAAGGCAAACTGGTGCCAAGTTATTCGTTAATGAAGGCACATTTTAAAAAACTTTTAAATGGTGTCATTAACTGTGGATATAAGTTGAATGGGGGAATATTAAATACATACCAACCCATAAAGCATTTCATAAAGAACTGCCCCAAGGCACCACCAGTCTACTGTGTTGTCATACGGCTGCTTTCTGATCACTTCAGGGGCAAGATACTAGAAGGAAAAAAGGTTAGTCTGGTTATGGTAAACCACTTGTTTCAATAAAAGATAATGTTTTACCATGAATAGACTAGTTTATATAGATTGCTAAAGATTTGCCTTGTTCTGAAGGCAAACTGATCTCTCTGACATTTGGCTGGCATGTGAATCAGACAACTGTTTCCCAGTTTGAATTAAGCATTTTCTCTACTGACAAGCTGATTTGTCACTTCTGAATTCACAGTTCTTACAAGTTTCAGAGAAAGGTCACTGAACTTCGACTTCAGCTAGCCAGCCAAGCAGAAAAATAAAAAATTTGGCTTAAAGCTGGAATCACAACACAGGAATCTGCAAAGAACCAGCTTCCTTTTGCCAATGGCATTTCCTGTCTCAAGGCAAGTAAGCCATTATCCAACTGCTGGTGCCCTCATAAGCTTAAATAACGGATGAAGGATTTCTAAATGGGAAAGTCAAGTGGAAACATTTAATTCTTCAACATCAAGGATATCTTTCGTGTCCCTCCCTAATGCTACAATATAGTTATATCATCTCTATTGTTTCAGTAAGACTTATGACAAAGGCACAGGATTAAGTCAACAGATGCGAAATTTATCCAGTGGCTCTTTGCTACAAATCAGTGGAGGGACACAGCTTGCAAAAAAAAATCTTACACCAGAGCATCAAAAACTGGACACCAAACAGTCTGCATGTCTCATGGAAAGTCCATTCAGGATCCAGGTCAGTGGTTCCTAAACTAGGAGTTGTAAGCCCCACAAATTTAATTACAGCAGTCAGGCTCAGATTAGAAGTGAGATCTGCCTAGGAGTAGAAGAGACTGGAAACCAGTGATCTAGAAACTCCAGTACCATGGAACCAAAGTAGGCAAGAATGGTACAGAAAAGTTCTAGTACCAGCAAGCTAGTCTACTGCTATGTAGTGTCTACCAGCTTAATGTAGTAACTTGTTGCGTTTGGCATGTCAAGTCTTAACTTCAGTTCCAAAGTTAGCCTTATGAATGTGTCCCTTACATGAATTCTGAAGTTCTAGGTTCCAAATTTTTAAGCTTTAAATATTTAGCAATGTAAACATTGAGCAAAAATATTAATATTTGATTCAAACATTTAGCAGCAGAAGACTGGCTACCAAAACGGTGCTAACTTACTTCTGGTGTCCCGCAAAAAGTTGCAGTGGTGTCAGAAGTAGCAATCCCTTCTTTACAGAGCCCAAAATCTGTTAAAACAACATGTCCCTATAAAGGGAAAAAAACAAACAGATTCTGTTATAACAGAAAAATTTAAGGCTGAGCAAATATAAATGATCTTACATGTAAGAAGGATAATTCAGAACATCAGAAACATATACTTACCAGTGAGTCTAAGAGAATGTTTTCTGGTTTCAAATCCCTATTAAAAACAAAGAAATTACATTAAAAACATAAAACTCATGAGCAGTCACTTTTACACAAATCTTTAAACATGTTGAGGCAGTCTTCTATTCTTAAGCAGTAGTCAGAAGTTTTATTAGGAATCATTAAATCTATGTTATGCCCTACAACAAGATTGCACTCAGTTGTTTTAGTCAATAATCTGTGTTGCCACATTTATAATTATGCAGCACAAGAATACAATTTAGAAATGTTGTTTACCTGTATACAATATTGATAGAGTGCAAATAGCCCAAAGCACTGGCTATTTCAGCAGCATAAAATCTGGCTCTGTGTTCAGGAAAGGAACGTTCTCTTTGTAAATGAAAGAATAGCTGTAAATATGTGAAGAGGTAAATCAGACAAGGTGACAAAAATATCAGAAATGCAAGGTGCAGCTCTTTATAATAACATAAAGGTCATTTTTACTTTGCATTTTAATAAAAAGCAGAACAGAACAAAACAACTTTGAAAACAGTGAACCAGAACAATAATTCTTGCAAAAATCACATCTATCCTTCCTTTATTTACTTTCACATCTTTCCCTTCTGGTACTCCAACAATATCCAGAAAGATGTGTAAATTGACAGAAATAACAGTACCGCATGCTCTGCTAAAGCCAAGTTTGGGCAATAGAACCTATTTAAACAGATGATGAAGGTCGGCTAGGTGGCATTCCACAGCCAGAAATCCATCTACTTATTTGGAAGATAAACAACATAAACAGTATAGTTTAAAACCAGTGGGTGTTTAATTCGATGTGACATGAGGTAAGCTCCATGCCCTCCCTAAGAGCCACCCCAATCACCTTCCCCTGCTTGAACTCTAGCTCTACTTTCTGCTCCTTCCTCAATCTCCTGCATGCCATGCACAGATGCTGCCCATACTACCTGTGGCATGCATGCTGTGGGCTGGCCAACCCTGATTAGATAACTTTCCACGTAGACAGAACTTTCTTACATTTTATGCAAATTCTTATATTATTACTCTATTCAGAGATCACTCAGGTGTTTTATGCTCTTGAGACACTCCAAGCAGGAGAAGGCCTTTTGCCAACATATACTTGTATTACAAGATGGGAGAGCAGAAGTTCATTAATCAAACTTTATGCTATTCTCCATCCCATTCATTTTTTTTTTATATTCATTTATCACACTTCCAAAGGATACCATCTTGATTTTTTTCATGTCAGTGCTCCCTGGACTTTAAATCGCTTTCATGGCCTGTCTACTTGACCCTTTTCAGCTTTGAAATTTCTTTGAGATTAAATGACCAATATTGCCTGTGGCAGTGGCACCCAACCTTCAGACCCCATGGGCAGAATGAGTGATGCAGGATTAGTCTATGGGCCAGATCCCACATGGGGATGGTGCGTGGGATTAGTCTATGAACCCAATTCTGCATGAACTGGATCCAACTCTGCCTGTGGGACTGTCATCCAGCCACAGGTCCAGAAATTTAGCAGTGGAGGAGCAGTGGCTGTGATAATTTGCTGAGATTTCCAATTGCAGCAGTTAACACTGTCACCACTTCCATGCTGCCAAATTTCTGTACCCTTGGGGAGCAACATGGGCCAGGGGTTGAGCACTCTTAGCTGAGATACTGTCAGCTAGAGCTAAACCACAAGATTTCTGCAAGTTGTATACTCCCTAAATTATTCATGAACCCATTTATCAATAGTAGCTAGTTAGCTAAAGATAATACCCAATAGCTTGGGTTTTTCTGGCTGCACCTGAAAATTAAGAGATTTTTATTCAAGTCTGCTTAAGTTGGTATAATTTAGAATGTTAAGCAGCAGTCCCTACAACAAGTATTAGTTTTCATTTTCCAACATCATTCAGTTGCATGTTCCCTATTCATATGGGTTTTTATACATTTGGGCTAAGGACAGACATTACACATAAACTGGTTTAAGTGATCAGAAACTGGCTTAAACCTGTAACAGAACAGATGTTCAGTGCACATAAACCAGTTTGAAAATGGCTGAAACCAGTTTGAGATAAACCTGGTTGAACATAGTATCAGACTTAACTGATTTGGGTTAAACCGGGTTATGCGATGTCTGTCCCAGACCCCTTACTGGTTTGAGATGAACCAGAATCCCGCAGCATCCCAGCATGCTCTCTGAGCTAGGTGGGGCTCTCTGCTCCAGAGCAGGGCTGGCTCCTCCCCTCTGCTCCTTGGCTGGAGCTCTGGCAGAGAATGCAGGCACAGCAGGGCCTGTCTGGCTTCCTCCTTCCCTACCCCCCACCTCACTGCTCAAGCAGGAATCCCTACCCTCCCTCCCTCCCATCTCCACAGCACAGACCCCAGCCCCATGGACCCTAAGCCTGTGGTATGTTAGCTAATGCCGAGAGGTGTCTGTGTCTCTCCAATTTCACTGGGACAGGTAGACAGAACAGTGACCACTTAGAGTTTTTTTGAGCTAATCAACAGGTTAGTTGGTAAGCTGTTTAAGAAGAGTTTGAACTAATGGAGAGGCAATTGTTTTGCTGCTGGGGTGATAAACACCGTTATCAGCCCCTTGCTGGCTTACTCGCCTGTCAGTTTGCTGCAGACAGTATAAAGAAGCAGGAAAGGAGATTAAAAAGCTCTGTGTATCATCAACAGATGCATGCACTGCACCCCCCGCCCCTTGCCTTAGAGTGCCGGCAGAGGGCTGGGGTCTGGCACCACTCCCGTCCCTTGAGCAGCCAGCAGGGAAAAGCCTGGGATGGTGCAGGCAGACCTCCCTAATCAAAGTTTCACAAAGCTCAGCATTGTGAAAGAGAAGCGAGGACTGCTCTAGCACCCCCCGGATTCTGCTCTAGCACCTCCCAGCATATGCCTAAATTTCCTCAGCCCAGAGAGAATGTCCGTCTTGTTACAAACTGGTTCAGCCTAGCCAGGTTAGACTAACCTGCAAAGACTGAATCAATTCAACTCAGGCTTTTTGAATGTCTGTCCCTAACCCCGAAGTTCTAATTAACAGTTTCTTGTGCCAAGCCTTGTCAAAGGCCCTTTGAAAGCTTAAATTTTGTGTCACAAAAGAAGAACTGGTTGACATGTTCAAAGAATACTCAAAGATCACAACAGCCAATTTTCCTTTGCAGCAAACATGCTGACTAATTCTCATCATAATTCTTCAGTTGGTCCTTTATTCTGTTTTTGATAATTTAAATCAATTTGCCAGATGTAGATGGCTAATTTAATCTGTATTTCCTAAAATCACATCTAGAACCTTTAAAAAAAAATATAGGTACAAGACCTGTTACCCTTCAATCCTCTGCAACATTTGTAAGTACAGGCAGTCCTCAGACTTATGACACAATTCATTCCTGAAAACCGCATCTTAAGTGGAAACGTCAAAACTCAGAACCAGTTTTCCCATAGGAACACTGTTACAAATGGGGGATTGGCTCCTTTATGATAGTCGACGCTGCATGCAGCTGGTAAGTGGTAGAAGTGGAGAAGAAAGGGAAGGGGGGGGGCAGATCAATGCCCCCCACAGTAAAGGAGAGACTGGGACTGGGGCCAGGCAGGCATGGGGAGAGAGGGGCAGCAGCTCCCGGGGGGGGGGGGGGGTGACCCCATATCTGCAAGGAGTGGGGCAGGGTGGGGCTGGGGCTGCACTGGGCTGTGCTCCGGGCAGGTGACGGGAGCTACAGCAAATTTTTGGATGGTTGCAGTCCCTCCCAGCCCCCGCTGCACTGCTTAACCCCCGCCCCCGCATCTGGGGGCACATGCTCCCCCCATACACTCAAAGCTTTGGCTCATCTGGGGGGGGTCAGGAGAAGGGGGTTGGCTCCCACTGCTACATGCTGCTTGTCTGGAGGCAGCACAGCAGCTCCGCTCCATGCCTGTCCTGCCCCAACTGGGCAAGTGGCCAGAGGGCATAGCGGAGGCGTGTGCCCCCAGATCAGGGTGGGGCAGGCAGTGGAGCAGGGGCTATGAGGAGCCTGCAGCCACCTGAAAATTAACCATAGCCCCTGCTGCCCACCTGGAGAACAGCCTGGTGCAGCCTTGTCCACCCCACCCCTGCAGATCCAGGGGGGGGGGGGGCACACACCCTCCCAGACCACCGGTGGGAGCAGTGGCAGGAACTGCTGGTTGAGCCACCAGACAAGAAGCATGCAGTGGTGGGAGCTACTGCCCCCCTCCCTCCCCACACCCCAACAAGCCACAGTTCAGTCCTGCATCCTCCCAGGCCCAGCTGGGCGGCATTTGCCCCAGCCTCAGTCCCAGTCCCTTCCTCACTGCAGGGGCCTTGATCTGCCCCCCACTCCCCTTCCCTCTCCCCCATTTACCAGCTGCACGCAGTAGTAACCATCATAAAGACGAAACCCACGTCAGAACGGGTTGTCAACTTATAAACATCATAAGTGACGTTCATCGCAACTCAAAAAGTTGCAAGTCAAGGACTGCCTGTATACAGCTGCTCTGATGTTAACTAGCTGCTCAGGCTGCTTGTATACACCACAGGGGTTTAATTTAGTTTAGTTCTCCCTAAATTGAAACAGTGGGTTTTTAAAAACACTGCTTCAATTTAGGGAGAATTAAACTGAACTAAACTTCTGTGGTGTGTACATAAGGGTAGGGACCTGATCTTTACCTGCCTCTTCAGTGGTGGTGGAGGGGGAGGGGGCGAGCTGCTGGCAGGCTGAGTGGTTCCTGAGCTGCGCAGGGGCCCCCAAGGCAGCACCTGCTTGCTGGCACCTGACCTGGGCAGTCCCAGGGGGCACTGTAGCTGCCAAGAGAAGCACTGAGCCCCCGCATAGCTCAGGCAGGCTCTGGGGAGGGGAAAAGAAAAAAGAAAAAAAAAAAGATCAGGTTCGCCACAATTCAGCGAAGCCTGCCTTCACCGGCTGCCACCAGGTCCCACAGCCTCTGAGCTGCATGGGGCCTGCCCAGCCCCAGGCATATCAGCTTCCAGAGCCCTGTGCACTGTTGCACTTTGTTAGGTAGCAAACTAAAATACCTTGGAGGTGTTTTATCTTGCTACATACCAAAGTCATTTAAAGTGGAATACATGGCTGAGCGTGCAAACAGCAACGCCATTCAAGCAGAATACACCACTGAATGTGCAAAGAGCAAAGCCATTAAAGAGTGCAAAACGGCACTCAAGCTGCTTCAAAGGCTAATTGTGTGGCATGCACAAAGGCCCAGAGTCACTTTCTACTTGAGCTCTTGGCTGTAAATATATATATAGGTACATCTACATGCATACACCCCCACCTAGGCCTGGAGACTTGATACTTTTTTTTTTTTTTTAAAGTATCAATATGCTCTAAAGTACCTTGTGAAAGTGTTGCCAGGAGCCTATACATTTTAACTGGTTCCTCCTTAAGTTACTAATGACTCCTCAAATGCATTAGTGGTATTCAGAGGGACAAGAATGCTGCAGATAACAAGGGTATAATAGTTAAGTCTTAATTATGGCATGCAAAGCTATGGAATGGATGCAGTGGCACAGTAACTCTTAACAAGTCAATTCAATTATGTTAAGTCTGCCAAAAAACCTTTCAACTGCTCAAGAATCTGGTATCTAAACTTTGATGAAAAAAGAAAGAATACTTATAAGTGCTGAAGAAAGTCAGCAACATATACACATTCAGAGAGGTATATTTTCTTTATAGCAATGTCAGAAAAGAAGGAAACAGGACGAAAAAGAAAGAATAGTTTCTACAACCAAGGAAAAATTTTGGATTGAAATTGTGCATTAATGTTAACATTAGAAGTTTTCATAAGTGACTTCTGAAGATAATCTTACGAACAATGAATTCTATGTTGCTGTAGATTTTAATAGCTTCAACATCTTTAATTGTAATGAGCAAGTTCAATAGGATTTTAATTTACTGAACACTAATATTAATTTATTGTAGAACAGATTTTTCTCCTGTATATTAGCAGAACAAGGAGACCCAAAAAAGCAATACAAAAAATGCTCACCTCTCCTCCATTAACAAAATCCAGAACAAAATAAAGCTTTTCTGTTGTTTGAAATGAGTAATGTAATCCAACCAAAAATGGATGCTTCACATTTTTCAACAACACATTACGTTCAGCCATAATATGCTTTTGCTGTAAGGAAGTAAAAGGTCAATAAGTAAATAGGAACAATTCTGTAACTCAAGGGGAAAAAAGAAAAAATGTATTTCCCCTTACCTCTTTCCTGTTGAGAACAACCTTTTTTTGCAGCACTTTGACAGCATAATATTTCCCATCCAGTTTTCGCTTTGCAAGAAGAACCTATAATAATAATAAAAAAGATTAGCTTGTTACTATAGTTTTTATTCCATTAATACACCCAGTGCAATTAAACAATACCAGATTACCAATTAACACAATTGGGCCAAAGTACAAATTTCTTTGCCTTTCAAATAGTTCAGCCATCAGCAACGTAAATCAGCAAAAGGAGAACATTCCCAGACAGAAGAACTTAAGGTTTTGCAGTTCCTACTGAACTGCAAATGTTATTATGCCTACCTCATGCAGGGTTACATTATGGTAGAGGCCCAAGCCTAAATCTCTCACTTTTGGAATCAAATGAGGGCTTCTATTTTATTTTATTTTTTTTAATACAAGATTCTATTCCATAAAGAAACGCATGAAAACATGACATCCCTGCCCACCTACACCCCACCTCCCAATAGTCTGAAAAAGTAACTTGGAGCAGGGTGAAGTGCTCCATCTATCATTGTCAGATGTTTACAGCAAGACTTGCTGCTCCAGGAGGCTCCAAGGTGGCAGTGGCAGGAAACTATTTGCCGGCAATGTTTGGCAAATTCAGTCCACCTGCTCAGCAGACAGAACAGCACTTGGAGACCAAGCAGAGGTAGAATGGATTGTTATTTTCCCAATAGAAGGGAGAATCCTATTAATACTGATTTCAAGTGTTTGTTCCGGGCCCCAAACAACTACAGCATGAAGAAACTGCTGTAGTGGTAGAGACCCTCTATCAAACCATGCACAGAATCCACAAGTGACTTGAAGCACCTTCCCAGTTATTTGCTGGTGCTGCTGGTGGACTGACAACTATTGCCAGGATGAGATTTAACATGAAAGCTCACCTTGCCAAAGCTTCCTTTCCCAATAACTTTCAAGAAGTCAAAGTCTGTTGGTTTAGCACTGAAAGAAGCCAGGAAGAAAGCAGGTTATTCAGCCAGAAGGTACCAACTTTACAATTCTACACAGTAGCCTGACATTATCTCTAAAGGAGTATTTGAAATACGTGCTGTTGTATGCATTCCTACCCTTTGCCCCATGTCCACTTACAACTTGTTCTTTGCCTGGAGATTCCTTAGACACCCTCTTACTATGACCCATGGTTAGACCTATTCCACTTCTCTGTTCCTTTACTCTTCCAGGGAAATTAAATCAAAATGTTAGAACTCAAATAGAGTATAAGGAAAAAGAAAAAAAAAAATCACATGAAAATCATTGTCCCTATTTGTCTATAATTTCTCCTCCTCTACCATCCCACATTAAGTTCATTGGCGTGGTTGGGTATGTTTGCTTTTTCTATTTGTTTTGCAAGGGTCAGGAGAAGGGAGGACTAGGGAAAAAGTGAGGAAGCTGGCTGAGGGGAGAGACTAGGAACCACACCGAGTGTGTCAAGAAGAGAGGAAAGATACTGACTGCATATGCTAGTTTGTCATATAAACATGGATAACTGCTTATCCTATACTGGCCCACTTAAAAATGATTTTGCAATAGTGCAACATGAACACAAGTTTATGCTAACAGAAAATGGAAGACAACTTGTGTTGCAGGGCACATACTGTCATGTATTCTCAGACCAAAATACATTTATCCTGGAAGTTATAATGAAGAAATATAGTCCTTTTGTTTTCTCTATTGGGTAGAAGAGTTGCTTGGGAGTCAATGGATGGAAGAAATTAACAGCAGCAAGCCAAGACTTTAAAGAAGGGAAGTTTTCAAGCTGGGGTTCTTTGGAGCTTTGTGGATATTGTCAAGGGCCAGCTCTGTTCCCACAGGTGCCCCCCACCCCTGTACAGAGAAAATCAGATGACTGGAAAGTACAGCAAATTTATATGGGTATTTGCAGTTTTATGTCTCCTTGCTTTCCAAGTCAGTGGAATTCTGTCTTCTCACTAGCGTATTATCTCTCTCACCAGTATTTGCAGTATAGTGGATTACAAAACTGTTTTTCACATGTTTTGTGTACAAAAGTGAAGGGAGAATAGGAGGGAAAAAATGTAAGAGGAACTTGCTTTTAAGACCTCAGCAGCCCTACTAGTTCTCTAGGGTGGGAAAGGAAGGTATCCAATTCACTGTTTAACCTTGTAGTACAAACAATACTACAAGCTTCTCAGATTTGTTTGGTGAAGATTAATGGAAAACTATACAGCTAACATGCATTACAATATTTACTTAGTGCCAAGTTAGAACCTTTGCTTCCTTCCAAGTTGAAAAATGAGCAAATAAGTGCACATATCTAGCAGGGCTTTTCATATAGTTAACAATTAAAGTCTAGACTGACTTTTGGTTTATAATTAACTAAAACCTACTGAGGATTTCCAGATGGTCCCAGGTTGATATTCTGTGAGGTAGAGTTTAGCTGCTGGAACAAAAAGAAAAAACAGGTCAGTTTAAAATTGTTTTTTTCTTCAAAAGGAATTCCTGTCTTCCTTTTGACATTATGCAATGTGTATTAGCTAAAGACAGTAAATAATGATAAACATGTAGAGGTGTTTTAAGCCAAGTGATTAAGTCTATTAAATAAAGTACCTCATACAAGGTAAGTATCCAATCATTCTTTTAATGGGAAAGGTTATTTATATATACACACAGACACACTGCCAAAAGTTAGAGATAGCGAGCAATTTTTTTTATCCAAATGCAGATAGTAGAGGTAGGAAAAGAAGAAATTTAAATCTCAAAAGAAGAAATTTAAATCTCAGCCCCTTTTAGGTAGTAATTTGTTTAATGTTCAAAATTCAAACCATCAGATTATTTTACATAGGGAATATTCTCTGGATTTTTATTAAACCTACCATGATCTTGCCTACAAGTTACCAAAATAATTGCTATTTATGCAGGACCTAATTAAAGACATCTGTTTAAAAAAAAAAGAAAAGCTGCTGTCAACCCTTGATAATATATGACACTAAAAGGTCACATTTATTCCACTAATTAATTCCAGTAGCTGCAAGGGAGGCTGTTCAAGCTGGTACACACCCACACAGTGTGTGGGCTGCAGGGGGAAGGAGAAGCTATTCTCATTTCAAACCTCTCCTGATTCTGTAATTTTCTTGTTTTTAAATAAGGATCAGAGCAAAGTTTGTGAGATTTCCATGTTCTGGGTGCTGACCAAAGGAAAATCCTACTACTATACAAGTAAGCATTAACATACAATATACTGGATAAGGGTTGTTTCCTTTTATAATACCTGATTTTATTTGAATTACCATTTCCAAATTCGAAGCAGGTAGTAGCTTTTCTGCCTTTAGCAGACGTCCCAGGATGGACAAGGATGAACATAACCTAAACTAATTTAACTTTTTGGTGTTAATAGGCCAGCTGACAGTTTTTTCTTGATTCTTTTAGGGGTGAGTGAGCGAGTTTGATTACCTCAGTTTGGTATTGGTATTGTTTGTCCATTGTTTTTAAGCACGCACGTGTATGTGTGTGTGCATACGCGTACACACGCACACGCACGCACACACACACGTGTGCAAAACTAATTATATCAAAGAAAGCATTTTTCTGTCCAATGCCTTTTTAATTCTGCCAAATAAGAGGAAGCAAAGAGGGATAAAAGTGAATAGCAGAAAAAGAAAAGGGATACTAAAACAGCATTCATTTATAGACCTGAAAAGCTCAGTGAGTCTAAATGAGTGCCCCTCAAAATTGCAATTAATCTCGTAAGTTAGTGCCTACACAAAACCTTTCATTCACAAATACATAGCAGCAGATTCAATTGGAAGTTTACTATTAAATTTAGTGGGTCTTAAATCAAGTCAGAGAAACATAAGATAACATGTATTAGCTACTAAGAGGAGACATACTAGAATGGACTGTAAGAATTTAGCTGTTCTACCTAGAAAAATGTAATAATCTTCTATTATTAATTCTTAACACAAAATTAGACATTAATATGAACAGTGACTTAGATGAACTTAACACACTTAAACCTACACTCAATATAGTGTCTTTAGTGACAACTGTGCTTGAGACCTTAAAAATATGAACTGAACCAAAATTGGAGCTTTTGTTCCCTAATACCATAGAAAAGAATTATGCTACTGTAAATTTCTTCTGTTTTAGCTACCAAAGAGTTAAATTTCTCATCCTTAATTCCCCACCCCCTTTGAGTGCCCTTGGTTAGATCTTTGAATGACTTGAATCCTGATCCATTTGGACTGAAGTCAGGCAGAAGGCTGGGTACAGGTGCACATCATAGATCAGTGCTTTTCACCAGGGGTGTTCAGCACCATGGGGTGTTGCAAGATCCTTTTGAGAGTTCCATGGGGTACAAAATGATAAGCACTTGCTCTTTCCCACCTAACCCCTATGTAAGGAGGTAAATGCAGGCTCTTCTCTGCCTGGTTCCAGTGCAAGGAAGTAAGTCGCACTTGTCCCTGCAAGCTGCTGCGTGAGGAACTAAGTCCTCACTTCTCCCCTCCACCCCTTCTCCCATCTCCTTCCTTCCCCTATGTGAGAAGTCAAGCACAGGCTTGTCTATGCCTGGCTACAGCGCAAGGAGGTAAGTTCTCAATTGCCTTACTGCTCTGTACTGAGCTAAGTGCACTCAGCCTGGCTCTGTATTATGCTGTGGTCTTTCTTTCTGCCCCACTACACAACTCAGTATGGTGCAGCTTGTTTCCTTCCTGTACGGAGAACAAGGCTTTTTTCCACCACCTAAGACTAATGCAATATTACTATGATAAGAAGCCATGAAATGATCAACTTGCCACAGGCCTGACCCATACACAGCACAAGGATTGCCCCTAGACTCCACCTGAGTGCCACAGTCCCGCTCTGGACCTCTATATAAAGTTTCTGCTTCTGCACCCACTCTGAGATTACCAAAAACAACAATGTTCATGTTACAACCTCAGTCTTGTGGAACAGCAAGCCATACTCAGAAACAAAAACAGCCCTGATTATCATACAGACAGGCTTATAAAGAGGGTGCCACCATTATCACGGACAAAACAGCACACATACAGGAAACAAAGAGAGAACTTTCTGACACCAAGTTTTACAAACTCCTGACCAGGGACCCCCATGGCACAATACCAGATGAAACTAAGTGACCTCTTAAAGATGCTACCTCCAGAAATAAAGGAGAGTCACATGTATGGCCCCCCAATATGCCAATATATTTATGACAGATTTTCAAGTCCCCTTTCTCCACAGCTGCCCTCTCATCTCCCTAAAGTACTTTAGGCTTGTGCCACATGTTACACTTTAGACACGATTAACCAGTTAATCACATTTTAAGTTATGACCCAGCCACACATTCAATCAATTAATGGCACGATAAAAGGAAAAATAAGCCACAAAAAATGTGTACAAAAAAATTGTGGCTAATTCCTATCACACCATTAAATGAATAGGTGGTGAGAGGTGCCCCTTGCTGGGAGCCTCATCAGCTGATAAGGACTGGATAGCTGTGCAACTTCACAACCGCACCACCACATTGTATTGGATACCAAACAGCTACAGCTACCTCCATGACACCAGTTTTCAAGTAGACTGCTAAATCCATCATCTATAGTCAAGTTCTACATTACAACCATATCTGCTCCGATCCTACCAACTGAGAAGAACACCTAAAGGAACAGAAGTCTAGCATACAATACAATTCCAAAACCATGACCACTCAAATTAATAGAGCCAGACTCAGATCCTACTATAACACCAACTCCTAGTCAAGAGCAAACGAATCCTTCTAGTTGTTGCCTACAGCCCCAAGTTTGAACACCTCAGATGCATTATTAATTATCTCCAACCCCTCCTGGCAAAATTACAATCTTCAAGGTAACAACAGGGGACAGGTCTGTCCTGGCTTACATACAACCCCCCATTAACAACCCCCCTTGCAAAGATCTCTCTAGCAACAAACTACCAATTCCTTTTATCCGCAAGGCACCAGACCTTGCAATGGACCCAGATGCCAGCTGTGCCCCCTCATCAACACAGACCACCATGATCACTGGATCAAATAATATGGATTATAAAACACCTGTGGTTCATTTACCTGCACTTCTACTAACATCATATAAAACTTACCTGTTTATCACCTGTAAGCGGTGATAAACAGGTAGGCAGAACCTCTGTTGTCTACATTGGACAGAGAGCAATCGGTGCAAGAAAAAGTGAATGAACACTGATTTGACATCAGTTTCAGAAAGACACAGGCCTGCAGCAGAACACATTAACCTGTGTTAATGGAGGGGCCATCACCAAGGAGGATTATACCTCCATTGCTCAAGACTGTAGGGGGGCTGTTAGGAAGGCTAAGGCAGATATGCAACTGGAACTAGTGACCCGGATCAAGAATAACAAGAAGTCCTTTTTTAAATACATAGGGGGTAAAAAGAAGGTACAGGGTAACGTAGGGCCTCTGCAAGATACGCTAGGAAATCTGGTGGTCACACCACACGACAAAGCTAATCTCTTAAACAATTTCTTTGCCTCCATCTTTTTGGGCAGGGACCGCCCCCACTGGGATCCCCGATGGACTCAGGGGAGGCACTGCCAGGCCCAGGGTCAGTGAGGACCTAGTAAGGGAACTTCTGGTGGGACTAGACATGTTCAAATCAGCAGGTCCTGACGATCTCCACCCCAATTAGCAGAGGTCATTGCAGGACCCCTGGCACAGCTTTATGAGCACTCGTGATGCTCTGGTGAGGTGCCAGAGGACTGGAAAAGGGCCAATGTGGTCCCCATTTTCAGAAAAGGGAGGAAGGAGGACCCAGGAAACTATAGGCCCGTTAGTCTTACCTTGGTCCTGGGGAAGCTCTTTGAGAAAATTATCCAGGAACACATCTGTGAGGGACCAGCAGGGGAGATCATACTTAGGGGCAATCAACATGGGTTCATTTGAGGTAGGTCCTGTCAGACCAGCCTGGTGGCCTTCTACGACCAGGTCACAAAATCCTTGGACACAGGTGTCGTGGTGGATGTAGTCTTTCTGGACTTTAGGAAGACCTTCGACACTGTCTCTCACCCCATTCTCATTAAGAAATTAGGCAACTGTGGCGTTGATGCCTACATGGTCAGATGAGTCACAAATTGGCTGGAGGGCCACACCCAGAGTGGTGGTGGACGGGTCATTTTTGACCTGGAGGGATGTGGGCAGTAGGGTCCCCCAGGGCTCGGTCCTCAGGCCTGCACTGTTCAACATCTTCATCAGCGACTTGGACAAGGGGGTGAAAAGCACCTTGTTCAAATTCGCGGATGACACTAAGATATGGGGAGAAGTGGGCACACTAGAAAGGAGGGACAGGCTGCAACTAGATCTAGACAGGTTACAGGGGCGGAAGAGAACAGGATGGGTTTCAGTACTGTCAAGTGCAAGGTATTACATGTGGGGAGAAAGAACCAGCAGCATACCTACAGGCTGGGGAACTCCCTTCTCATCAGCACAGAGGTAGAAAAGAATTTTGGAGTCACTATTGATTCCAAGATGAACATGGGCCGCCAACGTGGGAACACGGTCAGGAAGGCTAACCGCATCCACAGATACATCACGAGCAGGTCCAAGGAGGTGATCCTCCCCCTCTATGCGACACTGGTCAGGCCACAGTTGGAGTTCTGTGTCCAGTTCTGGGTGCCGCACTCCAGGATGGATGTGGACAACATGGAGAGGGTCCAGAGGGCCACTCGCATGATCAGGGGGCAGCAGGGCAGGCCCTACGAGGAGAGGCTAAGGGACCTGAACCTGTTCAGCCTCCACAAGAGGAGGCTGAGAGGGGATCTGGTGGCCGTCTACAAACTGGCCAACAGGGACCAGCATGCTATGGGAGAGTTCCTGTTCCCCCGAGCACTACCGGGAGTAACGAGGAATAATGGCCATAAGTTGATTGAGAGTAGATTCAGGCTAGATATCAGGAGGCACTACTTCACAGTCAGGGCGACTAGGATCTGGAGCCAACTTCCAAGGGAAGTGGTGCTCGCTCCTACCCTGGGGGTATTCAAAAGGAAGCTGGATAATCACCTAGCTGGGGTCGTTTGACCCCAACATTCTTCCCTGCCCATGGCAGGGGGTCAGACTTGATGATCTGCTCAGGTCCCTTCCAACCCTACCAACTATGAAATGATGAAATCTTTAGCCGTTCTTAAATGACAAAAACTTAAAAAACTAAAAAACACCACCAAGAAAACCCCCAAATCTGAACAGAAAATTGCAGAACAAGAAGTCATCCACAATCTAGATTGTATGGTCTAAACTGAAACTACAGATTCATATGCCATTACTTGGCTTAGCTTTAAAACCCCAATGTCTCACAATGGATTAACTGCTTTTTACCTACCTTTCCTCTCTTAGTGGTACTTCTTCCCTTTTCCTATCCTTTGTATTCAAATCACAGCCTTCCATTTAACAGCTCTGCTCCCAGCAGTCCCTTCATAGCATCTGATGAAATAAGTTATTGCTTACGAAAGCTTATGCATCTCTGATTTAGTTAGTTTAAGTGCAAACACTAATTCCCTGCCTTCTGCCCGAGTAGTGATATCATATAATCTGTAAACCAAGCTGCAGGTTTTAGTCCAGAACGCAGAGAAAAAAGGTTGTTTGCCCCATCTAAAACAATCACGTCCCCTCATCTTTGCAGTTCACAACTGACAAGTAAGTACTCAGCACATTAAATTTTAATTTGAAAAGAAAGGGAAGGGACCTACTAAAAACAAGCAAACAGAAAACCTCACTGAAACTCAGTGTACAGAACTGAGCTCAGGTATCTACAGTTTGTTAGAAAAACAGAAGTAATTTACTTTGGTCACCAAATTATTACCTTCCGACTGGTCCTGTCATCCTCATCTTCAGATGGATCTGACTGATGCTTTGGATTGTCCATCTGAAGAAATGCTCTGACATCTGGGCTAGAGACACAGTTAAACCCATTAGGAAACTAATGACCTAAATATAAGTTTTCATTCTATTCCCATGAAGACAGTGTAAAAATATCTTGCCACAGGTCTGTATTAAACATTTGGTAATAAGTAACACTCTTCCCCAATAAATTGATTTTACAGGAGCTTATACGACAGGTAATTCTATCTCTGAGCAGAGCATATATAATAAGTAAAGTTTTCCATATTAAAATATAGAAGAAACCAAAGAGATTCTGGAGAAGTATTCAGTTGAGACTATTCCAAGGATGATAATTGCAACTAAATTTTTTACTTCTTCCAACAATCCTTGCAATTGTTTCTTTTATGAGAGACCACTGGAAAGTCAATTTCCTTTCCAACACCTTAAGTGTTAAGGATAACATTTTTAGTTTTCTAAATGTAATAAGAAACAATTGTTTTACACATGGAGCATAATATGTATTTGCATTCCAGAGATTAAAATCTTGGGAAAAAATATGTTTGCAATTAAAGATTTTATTTTTTTTTGCAAAAATCTTGCTGGACTAATAAACCACATCATCTCTACCAAGAGTCCTGATTGCCATTAATCAATGCTTTCTCCATTCCTATTGGCAGATTCATGTCTTTGTCTGCCAACTGAATTTTTAAATTTGGCATAGACAGGTCTTAATGCAAGGAACAATCTCAAAAGGGCAAAATGGTCAAGGAACATTCCATACTCCTCACATTGGTGTTCAATTATTACCAAAGTTGCACTAGCATTTTAATTTAGCACCTCCCTCCTTTAAATGGATTACAGATTAGGCAGAATTTATTTTACTGTTTTGTGGACTTGATACACATGCACACAAATTAGAGAGAAGGGGTTATATTAGTCTAAAAATACAAATAATTACTGAATATACTCCCTATTTGACATGAGGTCCTTTAGATAAAACACATTTTAAATAAAAAGAATGCTTTTGTTACCCATTTTATGTCACTCCAAGTGTGTTTAGTACTTCAGACCAGTCATGGTATGACCCAGTTCACCTTAAAGACTTTACCCTAAGATACCAACATGCAACTATCCTTAGGTACTTTAGTCATCTAAACAAGAAGCTTGCTATAACGCATCTTGAGTAAGCTAAACGCTACCCAAGAGTGAAGTCACGGTACATAGTATGCTTTCTACTGTGTACTTGGTATTCCATGAATGCTGAAAGATATTGTATTGGTGACCAGAGGTTTAATTTAAACCATTGCATACGTCATTTGAACAACTGCAGAAATAGCGCTCTCTCATTTCCATTACAGAAGCAGCAGGAGTTATTGCTAAACATTGTAGAAGGTGCTGTACAATACAGACTAGCTTTATAGTTCACTAGCTTTAGTGCATTACCTCCGACCCACACATGACACAAGAATTATTTTCCTGCCCCACTCTCCCATCTCCATTAGGACTGCAGGAGTTTTGATCCAGATATTTTATACATGGGTTTCCCTTTTGTTTTTGGAACACAGGAGAAAGTGACTAGAGGGACTTTTTCTCATGGCTTTCATTGCATAAAACTGGTAGCTTGTTTCATGTAGAAGTTAGGCCACTACTGCCATTAAGTTCTGTGTTCCAGGAGTTTCTTAATGAAAACTAGAATTATTTTTAAACTATGCTAAGTCTTTAATGCACTCTATATTATGCATTTGGGTTTAAATGGTTTCTTGGAAAAGAAGTGTTCTGATAGACAGTTACACACATTATCTTTTCAGTAAAGGCCTATAGTTGAGGGGGAGGACAGCCCACCTTAATGAGTTGTTCAATGGATGAGGGTTCAACTGCATTAACAAGAAATAAATTCTCAAGTTTCAATTCTAGATTACAAATTCTGCAAGGGGGAAGTGTTTGTTCATACTGCATCTCTTTCCTGACAAGATTTTTGCAAGACGTCTGTAGTCTACAGATACCAGAGAGATTTCTCTCTAAAACCAATAGAACAATTGGGAGTCTGGCACTAATCCATATACGAAATGCCTTATTGGATCAAACCACTTGTCCATCTACCCTAGTATTTATCTCTGACATTGGCCAAAGGAAAATCCAGCTGTCCTCTATAGGTATCTTTCTAACCCACCTTAGCATTTGTTGGCTTATACCTGGGGCAGGAGCCTTCGTTACTGGTATGCAAGTCAAGAATGTACCGTAGACACAAGAAAGGGAACCAATGAAGCAGATCTCGTTTTCCATCTTTTTCATTGCTGAGTGATGTTACCACTTCTGAAATGCATCTGTGTCTTGGACAGGTCAAATCTGTCACCAAGAACTCAGTTAAAACACCCATTTAGACTGCTCTGTATTGTCAGGAATAAGCACTCACACCCACACTCTTCTAAAACAGGAGACTGGCGGATGTTATTTTTTATTCATGCAATGGGACCTGATCCCAGATCCCAAAAATCTGGGATCACACCCACTGTGACTCTGTTAGGGTAGGGGGGAACCCCAGATTGGCGATCCAGGGCTCCCCTTGCACCTAAACCTTTAAAGGTTTGCCAGCTTGGCATCAGGAAACCAGTTCCCAGGGGGGCTGCCCCCTGCCTGGTCCTACCAATAAGTTGACTTTCAAAAGACATGTTCAAGGAGCATGCATGTAACTGAATTTCACAGAATTCCTTTCAAGGGGCAGGGCACTGAACAACTGTGTCCCGCATGGCTTCTGTGCGGGCCAGGAGCGGTCCGAGGCCCTCGGGGTTTTTTTTTCCACGCGGCGGGCTGTGGCCAGCAGCCCGGACACACCGGGTCAGGGGAAGGCAGGCGGCACGCTAGAATTAGGCACGGACGCTTAGTGGTTGATTTAAGATTATTTTACTTACACTGAAGATGGTCGCGGTGCAGGCAGGAAAACTTGCTTGAGTTGCAGTTACAGACAGAAAAGAAGAGAGGCGGACTAGAGTTCCTTCCCGTGAACCTTCTAGCCCAATCCGGTTGAGAGCTCTAAACCGCGAGCCCGTCGTGTCAACCGAAGAAAGTACTCGAAGCAAAGAGCTCTGAATAGACTCACACGAAGTTTGCTAGGCTCCGTGGAACTTGCGCGCAGGGAAGGGTACGTCGAGGGATCAGGCGGCGACAGGGAGAGGCGAGAGGCTGATCAGACCCCTATAGCCTTCTTGAGATACACGCTGGGTCCGATAGGCTCCGCAGCGCTTAGAGATCTTCACGAGATGTGAAGTTCTCCTCCTCCTGATAGTCGTGGAGTCCTCCCTTGCGGGGTTCTCCTCGGAGTTCTCCAACTTGGGTGGAAACCGCTCAAGCTTCTTATACGGCTAGCAAGCCAATCGCTAGCCGCCACGTGGGAATAATTTAGAACTGGCCAATAGTGGGACACAAATTTGTATACGAATGGCGGGGACTCCTTGCACCGTGCATTTTTCTTTTTGAACCTAGAAATGCACCCTGCAAAGAAAGCTACGAGTGGCAGGAACTAATTTAGCAGTGCCGAAGCGCACACAAACAAAAAACACACCCTTGGGTTGTGACAGCTTCAAATGTCCTGGCTCAAGGACTGCTCTGCATGCCTTCCAAGGTGCAGGGTGTGGCTCTGTTCTGGACCTGGGGGCTATTCCCAGGTTCGGGACAATTGTCCAGGCAGGGGACAGGACCTGGGTCAAAACAGGTGCCCTCTGTGCCTTAGAAGCCGTACTGTGCAGCTCAACTACATGCATGCCCTTCAAACATGATGAAGCGAGAGGGGGAGTCTCAGATTCAGGAGCAGCTTCCCATCTTAGGTTCCTGCCCTCCCAACATGTTCAAAGGGTGTGCAGAGAGCTGGGCTGCATGCAGCTGCCAGGAGCCCTAGACTGGGGAGTAGATCCCTGATCTCTAACTCCTGTCCTAGCATGTTCATATCATGCATTCAAATCAAAGCACAATACAAACCAGCCACAAAGATGTTCTACATTAAACACAGTACATTTTTTACTTTAATTCCACTAAATGTGGAATATTTTTTCTGGCTGGCTTGCCATTTTATTGTGTCATAAAAACAACATCAGCCAAGGGACTTTGCCAGAGCAGGGCCACAAAGTATGGCTGCCTAGTAACTTTTGCAGATGAGCCTATGAACTTCACATCATAAATCTACTGGATACAATGAAATCATGGACTAAATATAGACATTGGATTTATGGCATGTTATAACTTAGCTGCCATCTGATAACCCCAGGTAACCTCTCTACTTTTTACCAGCTACATTCTATCACCAGGTTAATATTCCCCCATTTTCCCCTGCCCACCTAGCAGTCTCTCACCTATCATCTCCCATGGCCTCCAATCCTCAATGTCCTGCATTTGCATTTTCACAGACCTGCATTTTGCATACTGGCTTCTATTCCATCCAGGAGAACACAAAACAAAAGCAGACTCTCCCTATGCCTGAAGAAGGGTGTTTGAGCCTGAAATCTTGCAAAGAAAATTTTTCCAACTATTTAGTTGGCCTAATAAAAGATATCACATTTACCCAAAGAACCTTGTTTGCCAATGTCCTTAGTCCAACATGGCTACAACCAACACCTCTGTTGTCGAATGCTTACTCTAATGTTTAAGGTTAGCAGTAGGGTTTTTCCTTTGGGAACCCCATCCAGAAGCCACATTTTGTGTCTGTACTCTTTTAGTCAATCATGCATTCCAGTTAGGTTTTAGTAACAGGGCACCTGACTGGGCTAGAGCCCTATGCAATTGAACAGTTGACACTCTCTAAGGTATAAAGGTGGAGTACAGGAAGAGATACAGAAACTTTATCAGATACACAAATTTTACACAGTACCCAATATTATAAGATCTTCCTCCTACATTAGTAAGGTTAATGCATTGATCTACTTAGTTCATAATATATTTGGCAATTAGGCAAAACTGTCTGAAAATAGCTTTTTAGATCATCTGCAATGAGGCAGCTGCCATAATTTTCCCTTTTAACAGTTAGTTTTAAATACACTTTATGCTATAATGTCTTGTTGTGATCATACATCATAATTTGGCTGCTAGATTTTTGAAAGTCACAGTAAATTTTGCATGCTATAATAATCCTAGATTTAAAATACTTCAAAGTGCTGACAGATACAAGATATTTTGAACAAATGTGTTTAAATGCCCTTCAGAACTGAGCTGCAAAGTCAAAGTCTTGATCCTTCTTCTAAATATATTATTTATTTATTTTACATGGGCAGTGGACAAGAATTTTGTTCTATAAATAAAGAAGCCTCCTAGTAAACAAAGCTCTTCAATGCATGTGCATCACACATCCATCCTTAAAATAATCAGCTTACACTTGGGTTGGATGTGCTAAGTGCTAGATGAAAGTACCTAAAAACAAATTAAAATCTAATTTACATGCTATTAAATCTTTTTGTGTTTTTCAAATAAGATTCAAGGAAGAAAGGTTTGGAGATAAATTGAAGCGCCTCACAGTTGAGCACTGGAAGAACCAGGAGTAGGAGACAAGGTCTGTGATTAAAATTTAGAAATGGTTTCTTGCTTAAGTCAACTGGCAGAAAGAGATTAGGTTCCAAAAGTTAGTTATTTGAAAGGTATTATTTACTTTCACAGTCAAGGACAAAAGTTATGATCACAATTCCAATGTTTTTTCCTTTACTGGAAAATTATTCCATTACAAGGCTTTTGTTTTGTTTAAAACGTTTTCCACCCGTCATTAGGAAGACGACACAAAATACTTTTGAAAAGAGGAAGTTCATATTAAAGAGTTCTTTGGACAAAGTTATTCATTAAATACTTCCAATGCCTAGTACAAGTTGTAGCAATGTTTCCTGTTGAGGAAAATTCTGCTTTTAGCAAGAAGTGAACAATTTCACAAGCTTTAGAGATGAACTTAATTTGCCAAAATAAAATGCAATATAGTCCAATGTACTCAGTATTTGGGAACCTGTATGATAGAGGGATTATTTCAGGAAATTTTAATGAAAAGATATCACAGAAGCCTGTTGACATTTATTTTAATTTACCTTAAATTGATTAGGAATCAAATGGGTACAAGTTTGTGTGTAAAAAGGGTTTCAGAAAGTAAGCAATACATTTTTTGCTCTCTGAAATCACTCTTGAAAAAAGACAATTCTCACAGTAAATAATAATTATTTCTATACATTAACAAGCACAATACTTTTTATATTTAAGCTACATAGTTTTTAGCAATTTTTTTTTACAATATATACCATATCAATAAAAAGCTCTTACAAAACATAAGCCGACTACTTACTGGTTGCATAGCTCTGGCTGTCTAACTAAATTCTGAATGAATTCATTTAGGCCTGCTCTTCTCTGTTTAATAAAGTCTGGGGGGAAAAGTAGACAGAGTTGTTAAAGACATTAAAAGCTTGCCATGAAATAAGTGAAATTTAGATTTCTTACATTTTCTTTAATAGGAAAACATCTGAATAGAACAGGTCTTACACATGAGGATTTGGTTGTAAAAGACATCCGAGCCAAGAGTTCTATTCTTTGAAACCATTTCAATGCTTTCATCTCTGAAAAAACTTACTAAACCAGACTGATTTTGAACTACACCCACACATGCTTCAATGGGCTATTAGCAACCCCCGGCCCATGTGCCAGTGTGGCATGAGAAGGCATTTTGCTTGGCATGTTTGCCTTGGGGTAGACAGTGGGGAAAGGGCTGGGGCTGTGCTGCCACAGCAAGGACCGGCAGGCCTCTCATGGTTCCTCCGTTGTCCACTCTGAGGCACATGTGTACCAGGTGCTGGCAACAAGCCAGGCTGAGGCTCCACAAACCCTGCTGCAGCTGTTTGCAGCCTCCCAGCCACCTGCTGTAAGCAGTCCAGGCTCTGTTGTAGGTGGCAGAGGCCTGCCCACAGCCTGGGCTGGCTGTGGCAGGCAGCTGGGAGGCTGCAAACAGCCGCACTAGGGTCCATAGAGCCCCAGCCCAGCTTGTTTCTGGGGCCGACACTGCGGGGGGCGGTAAG